GGCGTAGAAGAAGAGGTTAAAGACGTGATAAGAGGCTTAGTAGAGGGTTTCACTCAAGGAATCCCAGGACATTACCTAGGGAATAAGCGTTGGTGGACACCAGACAATCATAGTTCAGCATCAGCAGTTAAAGATAAAATTATGGGAAACTTACAAAAAGATAATACAGCTGGGAAGGGTATTTGGCCCATTCACGCACGAGGAAGTTTACGCAAAATGGGGATTCTTCAGGACAAATCCTATGGGAAAGCGTTATCAACAACGATGGGTCACTGCGTATGATTAACGACTTATCTTACCCAGTCGAAGATGAAGAGGTACCCTCTGTAAATTCCATGGTAGACAAGCACGACTTCGATACGACGTGGGATGATTTCTATGCGGTTGCTAAGTACTTCAGAGAACATTTCGAAGAAATCATATTAATGGCAATCTACGACTGGGAAAAAGCTTATAGACAAGCTTGTACGAAGGAAGAGGAATGGAGATACCTGATGATAAAGGACTTCTATAATCGCATTTGGATGGACATCGCAGTTCCATTTGGCGGGGTGGCAGGTTGCGGGACCTTCGGGAGAGTGGCAGATGCCTGGAAATTGATCATCCAAAAGTTACTGGGGATCGACAGGATCTTCAGGTGGGTCGACGACAACCTGATAGTGAAGAAAGAAGGCAGTCAGTTGGAAATCGAAGACGTGGTCAACGTAAGCACACAAATGGGTGTCAAGACTAACTATGAAAAACTCAGAGGATTCGCCGAAGAACAAAAATATCTTGGATTCATATTTAACGGACGAGATAAGACTGTGAGATTACCGGACAAAAAGTTAACGGAAAGATTAGAGGCAATAGAAAAAATGTTGGATGAGGCAGGACCTTGGAGCCTGAAAGAAGCGGACTCAATAATCGGGAAGATAGGTCACTTGATATATATCTTACCCCACATGAAGCCGTACATGAGAGGTCTATACGCGTGGTTGAATCCCTGGCAGAAGACGAATGCTAAAAGATACCTGTCGAGGGCAGCAAGAAAGGACTTGGAAAGCTGGAAGGAAGCCTTGACAACCTTCGAACCCCGGAGGATCGTGCCGGCGATCGAACCTGAGAGAGTAGGTTGGGTCGGTGATGCAAGCGGTCATGGATTAGGGGTCATAACCGATTTTGGTTGGGTGCGTTTTAAGTTGAAAGACGGATGGGAGACAAGAGGTCTTGAAGGAGACGAAACACGTCGCGACATCGCTTGGGCCGAAACGGCAGCGATAAGGATCAGAATTCTGGTGCTGGAGGTATCGATAGAGGTACGCGGAAGGAATTTTTGGGTAAAGACAGACAACACAACCACCGAATCTGTAATCAATAAAAGGAGGTCAAAGAGTGGAAGAGAATTCAGGACTTACTTCTAAAACTTCAGTGTGACATAACGGAGGAACGTGTAGAATCGGGAAACAACGACGCCGACGATCTATCTAGAGGTTTAGGTGAAAACGACCAAGTTACGAATAGGATCAGAATAGAATTACCAGAAGACTTGAAGTTGTTACTAGAGGAAGAATGATCTCACCAAAAACGGAACATAAAATTAGGTGGTTTCTTCAGGACGCAAGAGGTGAATCAAGATGGAGATTAAACAGTGTACAAACTCACATGCTATCCGGAGGTTGGGCAGAATCAACGTTAATAAATTATAATAGTGGAGTAGCAAAATTAATTAAATTTGCAGAAGAGAAAAGTTACAAAAGGAAACAATTGTTACCTTTGTCAATCAATAAATTATATGAATTTGTGGTTTGGGCTGGAAAGAAACTAGAAGAAGACGGAAAGACAGAAAGGAAAAACGAAAAGTCAGCAGCGGTGGAGGTAGAAACACTAAAGAAGTATCTCACAGGCATCAAGTGTTGGCATTTGTTTCACAACGAGGAGTACCCCACTTACAGCTCATTGAAATTGTCAGTTCTGTTAAAATCTTCGAAGATGGCAGAAGCGCTAATCAGGGAGTCGGAAAAGGAATTGAAGAAGCCAGTATTATTGAAGCACCTGGTACAACTTTTGAGGAAACTATCGAACGGGAATAGAAGGGATCAGACGGCGTTAGCGATAGCATTGGTGGCTTTCTGGGGAATGGCAAGAATGGGAGAGTTAGTATCTGACGATAAGAGAAGACGATTGATAAAATTCAAAGACCTACAAGTGTTATCAGGTGGTGACAGATTGACGATAGCCCTATTCAACGCTAAGACCGCGAAGCCTGGACAAGTGCAATACATTAAATTGAAAGCCCAACAATCATACCTAGATGCAAACTCAGCGTTAAAACGAATGATCGCCGTCAATCAAACGGGTCCGAATGACCCCCTCTTCTCGTACCTAGAAGAAAACGGGCAGAGGAGTGTAATTTCAAAGGCGAAGCTGATGGGAATATATAAGAGAGCGTGGAAGTCGGAGGAGAAAGAGGATCACTTGACTGGCCACTCGTTTAGAGTGGGAGGCGCAACTTTCAGATGGAAGAGATAACGTCAATAGGTAGATGACAGTCGAAGGCGTACCAGTTATATCTCAGAAAGTATACCCCGGAAGAGAAGAAACAAACGAGAGAGTTGTGGAACTTACTGAAGTTTCAAGAACAACAAATGCCAGATAAAGTGAGTGAAGATGTCGTTTAGATAGAAAGAGTTAGTGTACTGATGAGCATTAACCGGACAGATTGAAGCCACAAGTGAATAGGTCGATCAAGTGAAGCTTACGAGTGAGTGGGATTAAGGTTTGGGATGTAGAGAGGAAGTAGAAGGGGAGGAGGCACGCTGTATAAAAATAGAGTTTAAGCTTGACAGATGCGATTGGCAGATGAATGAATTATGGAAGATGCTGGAACACACAAGAGCGTCTGGACTGATGCCGTAGTCAGGTTTTCGACGGGCTCAGGACGCCAACCGTCCAGAGAATAGGTGGTAGAAAACCTTTCTCGGACAGGCAGTCCCCGGCCTACGGCCCCCCCCCACACCAGGTCTGAACCTGAAAAAGGTAAAGACCTACATAAAGATTGCTTAGAAAAGAAAGGAATGGAACATGAGATCAGAAGCGAGATTACCTAATTACAATAAGACACAATGAGAGTTTTACAACTTAAATAATAGAAGTAATAAAAGTTGAGAAACTGACCAATAACAATGAGAGCTGAACAAGGCACCGTCCAAAGATGGATTCACTGCTACACAGTCGAATTACTCAGCTGACAGTTGGTGATCAAAATGCCATGGATGTGATGATATAGCTGACTTATAGATTCAGCTCTTTCATTATGATTACGTTCAGAACACGGAATGAATATCTGAAGATATATGAGATCCAAAAGGACAAGTTGATCAGGACCACCTCACCACTTGCATTCGGACAGTCTTCAAAAGAATTTGAAACTTGAATGTTATGCGGATTTTGAAGACAAGTTGGAATAGGACCGTCCAGGTTCACTCCAGTCAACATGCACTGAATTTTCCTTATAGCTGAAGGACTGGACTCTTCGTGTCTGTCATCTGAAGCAGCAATACAATTTGCATGGCAGAAGACTCAGATGTTGAAAATGGCGGCAGCGAAATTACATGTATGTATCCCAGAGTCAGGTGGGGCATGCCGCTTTCAGGCCAAATGCTGCTGCCTCCCAATTGTCACTTGGAAGCGCGAACTACTCAGCCATACTCAGCCATATGAAGGAAGAATCTTTTGACATTTAGAAACTTTGCAAATCTTCTGAACACCCATTAAATCTCATTGAAACCGCTGAACAATTCACGAAATCGACCTCTTGGGCCGGATTTACCTTCAAGATAAAGCTCATAATCCATCGGAAGCTTCTATAAAACGGACTCGCCTCTACATATGTATCAAGATGCCACCGTCTAGTCGCAAAGCGCAGCTGAACCTTTGGCGCGAGATTGCGTCTAAACGTCACGAGGGGACTACGCCAGTGGAGCCACATCTAGACTTCATTCAAAGTCGTTTCGAGGAACTCGACTCAGAAGGTTTTATTTGGTCCAAGGATTCGATCCTTGGTATCTTCCTTCAACTCGGCCTACCAGAAGGCCCACATAGCTCTTTCTCATCGGTCAACGAGATACTCCAATCGCGCGCTCTTCTGGGATCTGAAACTTCATCTCATGAAGTCAAAGAACTTATTCAAACCGAAGAATTACGACGCAGATCCCATCCTCGGGGTCTGATGAATTTACCTATCGAGATATTTAACAAGATACTCGAAGCACTTGATGACTTGTCTAGGAATGAAAGCTACGCACTCGCGTTTCAAAAGCGCAAAGGTATCGCAGTGATCTCGGGTTCAGGCAACAAGCAACCATATAAGACTTATTTACCCCAAAAATCGCCCATCTTAAATACAATCCAAACCTTCTCACTTGCTTGTCCTGAAGTATACCAACTTTGCCGACCATGGTTGTGGCGAGTGAGTCGTTTTCAAACCGAATTGTTGTGAAAACATCCCACGATCAAACACTGATTACACTGCTCAGAAACTAGAATTTCCTACTCGGCTTCCAGCACCGATAGATATATGGACCGAAGATATCATCCTTAGACAAGGCTCATTGGTCCGGTCTCTAACACTCCACCTTTCCCAAAACTGCAGTCAACCTGATGGAGTTGTTGATCGTGATCCCTTTTACGACAATCTTACTGTTGATATGGAACACGGTGATCCAGAGAGAGTCTCCCCAAAGAATGCAAAAAACCTAATAAATCGGTCCCCTAACCTCTCTGAGCTGAAAATTGACTATATTCATCGCAGACGCTCGGACGACTCACTCGGAGTCTCAGCTTTTCTATCAGAGCTGGTTCCTCTCATAACTAGTCTCAAACACCTCCGGCAGTTGTCATTAATTACAAATTTCATCAGATCGGGAGCAATGATTAAATCCCCAGCAAAACTCATCCTTGGTCTACCCTTGCTTGAGTCGCTTCAATGTGGTGGAATGATTCTGTCGTCAGATCAAGGTGGACTCGGTGATGGATCCTTTGGTTTTGAACTGTCCAAACTCCAACATCTATCAACATTACATTTAACTGGCATTAAAGGTATTGACAAACACTGGTGTCTTTACAATTGGCCAAAGACAATCACCAACCTTACAGTTGACTGGTGTGATAATTTATCACCAAGTTCAGCGCATCAAATTATCCACCACATTGCACCTCGTTTAAAAAATCTTGGCCTCAGCTTCAAGCAAAGTGATGACAGCTGGGAGAGCAATACTGGCTGGAATCCAGGACATCTTTTTTCTCTTCCGTCTCTGACTGACTTGCAACTCCATACCTGGAACCGTCACTTACTGGACAGCTTCCGAGACTGTGAATCTCTAGGGTGTCTTGAATGGACCTACATAACATTAGAAGATTGCAGGACACTAAGTGGGATCCTTTCTCGAGCTACTTGGCCTCAGCTCAAGAGACTGGTTGTAAATCCTAGTCTTTTTTTCCCACGCGACGCTCCAGATGCTCAAGATCAAGCAATTCGAGATGAATTGGACTCAATGGAAGATTATTGCAAGCAAGCCAATATCGAAGCATTCGTACACCAGCCTCTGCGTTACTCCAATACGTTATGAGCGGATTTTTCTTTTGGTCAGTTCAGCAGGAGTGGCCTTTTCAGATTGAGATTTAATCAAGTACTTCTAGACTGTAAACTTGCCTACCTTTCCTGGGACTCAGCCACCTTTTCTTGTGTGATCATCAAATGTGTCTTGAAGACTATCTGATAGATTGATCTCTGTCACCTTTCTGATTTGTATATAGCATTTGTTATCACTATCTCCTTTGGCATCTCAAAGATCACATTTCATTTGTAATCACTAACCTTGACATTGAGGCAAATGTAAAAAGTTTTAGGGCCCGTTTGGTACAATTCAATATATGTATATTTGTGGTACTCAAAGCTACATATGTACGCCTACATAGTTGCTGTATATAGTTTTTTTTGGCGGGGAAAAAAACAAAAGAAAGATATTAAAAGTATTTCGCCCGCCAAAAAAAGCTATATATGACAACTATGTACATGAACATATTTGCTTTGGGTACTGTAATTGTAATATACTACACCAAACCAATAATATACAGTATATCAACTTTGAAAAAAGTGGTGGTGTTTGGTACAATTATTTGGAGAAAATAATAAATATATATTGCAATATATTTGTCCATTTTGATATACAGCCTTTTGGACGTATATCAGACTGAAAAAGCCTTTTTGCCCCTCTCTCTTTTCCATAACTCCTCTCCCTCCGCCATCCTCCCTCCCTTTTTTGTCAATCACCCTCCTTAACCATACCCAATCATCTCTTCAAGTTCAAATGTCACCCTTTTGACTTCAACCTTTTGAACATTTGTCATCATTTCTTTCCTTATCCTCTTCATGGTATGATCTTTCCTGTTCTGATCTTTTGTCTTCATTATCAACTTATGTCTTTGTCTTTGTTCATTTTCATTGAACAAACAAAAACAAAACATTTATTGACATAAACCCAAATGAGTTCAATTGAACATTGCAATCATACATGTATAAAATAACAATGATTTGATGAGATTTTCAATAAGGGTAGTTTTTAAAAACATTCAATGGCTTTTAAAAAGATTGCAAGGATTTTAAAATGAATTGATGGAATCTCAAAATTGATATGGTCATTTCAAATGATCATTATGATTGTTACCAAACACACAAGTGGTGATCTTGTGTCCACTGATGAGCATGAGGCCTAGCCGGTACAGGTGGTGACGGTAGAGTGTTTGAGGTGCTAGCTACAGCCACAGGTAGCACAGGAGCCATCAGATGGGTTGTTGAAGACAATGTGTTGCTGTTGCCTTGTGCCAACTGAACTCGTTGGCAAGGAGCTGAAGACCCCACTACATGTTTTGGGCATGGCCCCAATCCGTATCCAAGGCAGCACTAGAATAAAATATATAAGAATGAATAAAAAATATTAAAGCATGAGTCAGTAATTCTTACTGCTTGGCAGTACTCACCGTGTCCCTGTGGTGTTTGCCCGTTGACAAGCGCACACAAGTCGCCTTTGTGCCTCTAAAACAGTCCGTGTGCGCTTGTTGTTGAGAGACTGCCACAAGGACACAGTGTGTCAGCCCTGAGTACATACACATGTACTCAAATGCTAACCTATGATATATAACCATCACCTAGAAATATAATTACATGTACATACAGCCTATAATATATATGTAAAATGTAAGAAAAACATATATGACCTCTAGTTACATATGCATATACCCAAGAAATAACATGTAACATATAAAATTACATACAAAAACACTAGTAACATCTCATAGCTCAGTATCAAGAGTTAAAACAGGCTTATCTTATATGAAACACTTAATGATTACATAACATAACATTAAGTGTACATAATCATAAAAACATTAAAATATTAAATACAAACCTAATATTGCAAACATTGTGTATATCACAATACTAGGTTTAAAAGCTAGAATATATAAAGCAGAACCTGCTTCATCCCCAAAGGAAAAACCAAGTTTATACATACCACTTTCTAAAGAACCATCAAGAGTTCAATTAGAATAACAATCAAGAGTATTACAAATAGTAATACTAGTGATTCATTCTATTTACCTTGATCCTTCCTGACTAGATCCTAGTAAGTTATATTCTTCACTTCTGGATCCTCTACTTCCCCTAAGTAGTCTATATACTAGGTTGGTGACCTCCAAGTTAATAACCAATAGGTTGGTGACCTCCAAGTTAATAACCATCAGGTTGGTGACCTCTAAGAGATAACCAAGATAGTGATCTTTATAATCACTCTTTATCCAGTTACATAGAAGGATATTGGAGAATCTTGGGATCCAGTTCTCACTATTGTATTCATTTACAACTTAAACCTCTTATTTAAGAGTCAACTAAGTCTAGTCTGCCAGCATTTGTCCCAGCAGACTCTTAGTTGTTAACTTCCCATATTATCTTCCCCTTTCCCATCATCAACTCCTTCCTTTGTTTCTAGTTTAACTATTGAAATATAATAATACCTATCATACTTCATCTTAAACTACTCCCTGTACTATCTTTTAGTGAGTGTAGCCTCTCTCAAAAGAGTCACTACCCTCACACAGTGACTGGCATGGACACCCTTTGTTTCCATTTGCCCAGTGAGTCCGGGCAACTGGCCCTTGTAAAGCTTTTTGGCAGGATACTCTGCCAACTTGGCCATGGTGAGAACCTGCAAGTGAGTCAAGTTGATTGTGATCAAATGTGGGGTCATGTGGCTAACCTAAGAAAGGATGTCCATTGTTCCAGTGATTTTTGGTCTGATTGGTCCTATCATTCTTGTTGGGTTTGGGATCGAGGATGACACCAGATGGTGAGATTCTGGGGCCCAAGTCGGAAGGAGACAAAACAATTGGTTGTGGTACACCTGCGAGGATCAAAGCCTGTTTGCAATTAAATTGGTCACATCGCCAGGTGCGCCAGTTGTGACTGTTGTTCTTTGGAAGTGTTAGGTACTAAGATTTGAGAATATAAAGGTTGTTAATTAGTTGTATCTGTCTACTATAAAAGTGAAAAGAATGGCTAGGCTTTTGTGGATGTGCCATGTGTCTTCCAGTTTTGGATGATAACGGAGCAGGGTTGTGCATTCTGGACCCAAGATGCCAACAAGACCACACACCGCCGGCTCTGGCAGGAAGCCTTTGGTGATAAATTGATTGTGTTTGTGGATAAGAGTTGGCACAACCATAATTGAAGATGTTGATTGGTTTGATTGGTTCTTTTTTTGGCATTGAATTGCTTGTGATCAAAAACTTTTGTACTGTACCAACATCCCTTTTGAGCTGGTTGAAACATTATGGTGCTATTGGAGTTGTCCATTTTGGGAATTGTGAAACAAGGGCTGAGAATGAGTTGATGGAGGGTATGGGTTGATCAAACTGGATGACAGACTGGGAACATGACCGTTCACATGAATCATGTAGGTTTTTTTAGTTTTAACATAGGGGTTTTGTCTATTATTACATGACACAGGATATGTTTCTACGTATGCTAAGGTGCTGTATTCTCAGATTCTGATGATTTTCTCAGTCTCAGATTATTGGGCACTAGGAGGAATCTTCTAGATACAAGAATTGGTTACAGGGCCATGTGATGTAGCCTCGACAAAATGATGTGAAAGCCTCATTGTGTCCCACGCGTTACACTCACGTGCAATCTTTTTGCTAAAATCCCTTATTACCTTTTGAAATTGTAATGGGAGCTGTTTACCATTCTCTTGATTACTTATAATCTCCAGTGGATGATCTGGAACTACTTGTTCTTCCCACTTTCAACCTTTCTCAATGGACTTATAATTCTTATCAAAAAAATATTCTCCATTTATTCAAGATCAACTTACCATTATATTATCATATCATCTTTGATTGATTCTTATAAAAATTCTGTCACACCTCTCCTCTCCCTTTTATTTTGATCTTGTAATTCTGTTTTTAGTCCGCCCCATAGCGGACCTTTTATTAACCTTTGAGTTAGTTGCACATCCCTATGATTTGTCCTGTATATTTATCTACTACCTTGCAACTAGGGCTCAACGCCCCAATTCAAGCTAAAACCTTTTCATCACTGAGTTTTAGCTGGATCACCCAGGCACCATACCTATTCTCAGGACAGAAACCCGGATCCTCTGGTACTCCCGAGCGTTGGAAAAAGATAAGAGTTACAAGTTTGCAACATAACCACCTATGTTTACGTTATGTTTTTACTGGGCATGTTCTCGACATATGAAAACAACATCGTTGGAACACAATGGTGAAATCACATAATGGTTACAAATCTTTTGAACCGTAGTGTACAAGTGCCAGAATCTGATACATCACATTCTCAGGAACCGTAGGCAATCAATTATTTAGAATAGCGCTCGCTATAATCCAATATCAAGGAAGGATGTATCCCCTGGGTTCTCGTGATCACCTAGATCTAGCGGTGAGCTGGAGATGGATTGACCAGCTATGGTTTGTTGGAAGAACAGCAAGGCGGCCTGACCACGAGCCAATTTTCCTTTTCCATATGCTGGTACTTTGTGTCCCTACAAGGATGCAAGTAATTCAGCTTAGACCAACTATGGAAAAAAAATCTTCATGACTGACTGCACCAAAAACTCGGATGTATGATAAAGTACCGGCGTTTTTATAAATTCCAGCGACCTCGCCGTCGATGACCCATTCGCTAAACTTCTGTTGGCGATATTTATCTGAGAATTTAGTGTTCAAATTGTCCATAATAGCTTCTACCCCCATGCTATGGATAGAGAAATCCATAGAAATCTAAGTATCTTTGGATCAAGGTTTTCGAAGTTTCAAGTTTAGGCTTACTAGTTGACAATATAATCTGCATCCCCAGCGTATATTCTTTACCGAAAAACAGAAAGACAAATGGAAATAATCAGCATGGAGACGTCACGTATTATAATCTGAATCATGCTAACAAAGTTCTGATTCCCGCATCTATCGCGCGCACAAGCTGCGGCGCAGAATCCATCATCCAGTCTCCACTGATCAAAACATCAAAAAATCGTTGGAGGATCATCGTTAGCTCAAGGAGCTATAACATACGCATGAGAAAATCAAGTAAGGAAAAATTTCTACCTTTCAAAAAAGTTATCGTACACCAGGTCGCTACTCTCTGTCCAATTCATTTCTGCACCAATTGCACGCTGAAATCCTTGATTGGTGAGAAGTGGCTCAAGGCTGGGTGGGTATGGATCGGGATCATTGTTTCTGTTTGAGGAGAATATTTATGGTCAGAATATGAAAAAGATATGGTCGAAACCGTACATTTTATCCCCTCTGTCTATGACCAAACTGACCGCACATCGTAGTAGCTCGCGTTCCCAGCCGCGGGTATCAGAATATTGTTATTGCAAACCTCTTGAGCATTGCTACATCGAGTTTTTTTGAGTGTTTTCTGACATTCAACGATAAGCGATTTACATCCACCAGGAGATTCGTATAACTTTGTCAGGTTTTTGATTTCATCAGTTGAGATGATTCGTCTATACTGTTCAAAGCAGGTTGAATATAAATTACTGGTAAGTAACAGGATGTATCATAATTCTCCAGTAGAGGTACAAACCGGGTTTGTATCCGCATACGTTGTGTACTTTGGATACTGAGCGAGAGGAGAAGTCAAGCCGTTACCAATCCCTAATGTCTTGATAGGTATGATGAAGTTTCCAGTTTGGGAAACACGAGAATTCATGTTAAGAAATAAGTCCACCATGACTGGGCCATAGTGACCTGTGATATAGGAACTTATCAGTAACATGAGAGGGAAACGACTCGTAACTTTGCAGGACTGACCACCATAAGACTCTGCGCCAATGACACGAGATTTTTAGTGCCATTAATCATTTGAATCCATACAAATGTGAACACGATGCTCAGGGAAGTTTGGAGACGTATGAAACACACCAGTCCATAGGCCAAATTCGCGCCCTACGAATTTTGAGAAGATGGGATCCGAGTAAAACAGCTGAAGTGCGTTATAAACTGAAACTGCCGCCTCCAATGACGTTGACACGTTGGTAGTTCCGAAGGAGAAGCCTGTACCGATAGGTTGATCAAGATACAACCTTTGAAGACGTGGTATGTAGAATTAGCCATCAATTTTTTTGAAAAGTCCACAAGAATTGCTCACATATTGGCCTGATTATCAATTGTTTTCGTATTTCAAAAGAAAGTGTCCGGCATCTCGTCACTTTGAGAAAATTTCGGTTTTAACAGCAGTACGTCACTTTAGCGCTGCTGCACTTACACTTTCTGACCAGGAATAAATGTTATCCTCAAGACCACTAGAGTCCCGTTTGATCCAACACGGCCCGTTCTCCTGAAAAAGACCTAAGGAGACAAGATCAGTTGGATGAAGTTACGCATAGCGACAAAATCCGGAACTTTTTGAAAGAGCATCAACTCACCCAGCATAGAGGAAGATCCCGGACCTCCATTCAAAAAGACCACCAATGGCGCTGTATCGGGGTTGTTGCTATATACGCGAGCCAATGGCAAGAACTTGGAATTAGCTCCAAGTCCAAACTTTGGGAAGGAAACATCTCACCGGGCCTCAAACAACCAAAAGAACATAGACTGATTTCGGTCGTTGGGTATATAACCTGAGTATGTTTGCACACCTCTCCGAGTCTCGCAAACTCCAGAGTTACGCACATATCGAAGACGCAAATTGGAATTCCTTTGATGAGTAGACAGAGAGATTGGGGTTTCAGGAAACATGGATGGGCGATAGACAACATCATCTTGTGCTGAGGATGATTCCCCCTGATGGTGTAACCTGATCTTCCAGGCAGGTATCAAACCTGGGAGTAAATCTGAAAGTACTCTACAGGATACCTGGGTGGAAAGGGAGCTTGTGATCACAAGCACCAAGAATACGAGACGCATGTCACTGAAATCGGACTTATGAAAGAGAGGTTATGGAGATAATGACGAATTGACCCGATTGATGGTACTTTTTAAGCAAGATTTGTTCAGATGAGAAGCTCTCTGACATGGTCTTCAGTCCGAGCTCATCAACAGACCATCGATGTATCCCATATATTTGTATATATGTAGGTGATAACACGATCCTTGGTGAGGGTATGTACTACAACATAGATGTTCCAATCGAATATTCTGCAGATTGGCACACATTTAGAGATGGTGGCACTGGCAAACGGATTTTGGCAGCGTCCGCAGAACAGGCGGGTTTGTATTCGTCGAATACCTTCGGGATTCTCCACTCCGCTCACAAATCTGTAGACCATTACCCATTTGTTTCTAACGTTAATTGTGCAATATATGCAACATTGGTACCCGGGTCAGAAATCTTGAGATATAAAGTCTTCCCCTCGGCTACGCGCTGAACGGTTTTTTTGGCCACTGATCAGCTGAATAAAGTCCATCTATCTTCCAGACCGCGCCCCTGCACTCAGCTTGTATGTTGGAGCATAGAACTGATTCTTGGCGTTGATGGCGCATTGGTCTCCTGTGCTTCCAAAATTCTCCGCCTTGGTCGTCCCCGATTAAACGCGCACTCATGCAGAACTGAGAAACTCCACAGAAGAGTCATACATAGACGTGAGGTTGAAATCCACCTCTTTCGAAATGAGTGTGAGAATGTGGATATATTTGTTAATCGCGATTCGATAAATCTAAGACTTGTGAGGCGCGGGAGGGACTTGGATATGTATGTATGTAAGTTTACGATAAATCTAAGGTCATCAAGATCTGATCTCATAGGGTTTGAAATTTTTTGGGTTGAACACCAGACTATGGGTGAAATTGCATCCTGAAAGGATTTCTGCACGTCAGAACTAACCGCGCATCGTAAAAGCTCGCTTTTTCAGAAGCGCGGGTCAAGATGTCTCTATTGCAACAATTATCTTTGACTTAAGGGGCGCGCCAACACGCACTACCTCGCTGGGGCTCAGGCCTTTGGCGAGGGACTTAAGTTTGGCCTCAAGATCATAATATTTGTGGTACACAAATATTGTTCTGGAAATTTCCAGAACGCTTTTTCCAGAACGCCAGAAGTTTTTTTGTTTGGTGTGTTCTGGCGTTCTGGTGTTCTGCAACTTTGAATGCCCCACACTTCAGAATTCCAGAAGCCCGACTACACCATGAACCAAACCACCACCTACTCCGCTGGCACTCCCCTCATCCCCTAGGACACCAAATCTCATCCCTCTCCCATCTCAGCACTTCCATTCTCACTTCTCGATTATGGCTCAAAAAAACCCAACCTCAACTTGAAAGATTCACGTATGTATAATATTGCATACTTTCTCAAAGGCAGATGGGGAAGATTGGCCTGCCGAGTTGAAAGTTCAAAGCGATTGAAGAACTCTGAACGCCTGTTTCAATCGACAGGACATTTAAGGCCTCTTTGCACCAAACCCATCGCACAAACGACTGATGTTCATGAATCCGGGCAAGATACTACGCGGCAAGATGCTTTTTTCACTCAATCTATTGCGACTCAAAGTGTTTGAAATGGGCTTGGGAACAATAATCATTTTATCTTTCATCTTAGTGTCGCTGTTTCACTAGTTTTCAAGCTTTTGAGTTTTCTTTCTAGTTTCCTTCTATATAGCTTTTTAACTCAAATCTTTTGTAAGGTATATACACTTGATATTCATTTTGATTTGAATGAGGGTTTGTTCATTATTATTGAGATGAATGAGAAAATAAAACGTGCATCGTTCAAAGATACTCCTTCCCAATGCATATCAAACATTCCATTCGCATAGTCACATCTTGATTGCTTTTGAGAAAGCTTTCAAACCCGATAACAAGTACAAAGAGTACAAATTGAGACTTAAGAAAGAATCTCAATATGATGATACCTGTATTGATCGATTTTTGTGCTTGAAAACCGGGAGAAGGTGGATGAAAATCATAAGAGTAAAACGACCTCTATGTATCGATTGGATTGCAGTGAAAGCTTTGCCTCTGAGTATTAATTGATTCACGGTGAATGACCCATCTCAAGCCAATAAAAATTTCTCGATACCTGGAATGGGTTCCGTATAGAAGTTTGGTGATCTGAAGTTCAAATTGAAGGTCGATTAAAAGGCCTGAAGCGCAGATGGGTGAATTTGTAAAGTGAACGGCGTGATAACTTGATCTTCTTGGGTTGGCTTGAGGTAGTCGTTGTTGATCACTTGATCCATGTTTGTTAGGTGATGCATGTGGGGAATGAACGGCTGCAGCAGAAAATTTATGTGTGTATTTGTGTTTTTTCCAGAACGCCAGAACGCTTCCCGAAGGGTTCTGGAGTTCTGGAAAAAACCTTCTGGAAATTGCCAGAACAATATTTGTGTACCATAATTGTAGACTCCGGAGGCTTCCGGAGCAAAATGTTTGCGAGGGAGGGTCGGGTTAAGCTTGCTTCCGGAGGTGCCACCCTACGTCGGATGAACTTTCTCTGTTGAATAGTGCAAAAGCACCTTGTGTGAACACTGGTCTGTGTACCTTTCCCTGTTCACTTTGTACGGGGCGTTGATGATTAGTGTCTTGGAGATTTGTCCCGGTGCCTGGTGAGGACCCTTCACGTTGCGTGAATACGCCAGCCGTTTACGGCACTCACGCCGCTTCTCAATTGACCAACAGCCCTTGGCTGAAGGCTGCAAAGTTCTTTTACACGTGTATCTGGGCCTTGAGCTCGACAATATCGGTTGTTGAGATGTATTTACTACATATATAACGCTGCTTTTGCTAAGGAGGCATACTGAAGCCCACATCATCCACTTTCTCTCCTGAGTCTTTGCAGCCTTCCCGAATCTCTCTTTCTCTGCTGACAATCTTGTTGAAAGCGTTTCATAGTCAAAGACTCAATATTACTCTGCAAATAATGTCTTGGAAGCTGCTAGCGAGCCCCATTCTTTATCTTGCACTCGTGTTCCTGCTCGTGGGAGATCTCGGGTCGCATATCTCGGCAAATGCTTACGACATAGAATGCACCTTGTCGTGGCATCCACCGTTTACCCCAAACGGTCCAGCTCGTCAGTCCAACATTTCCCTTCAACCTTTGGTTTTATACTTCAATAAAGCCAATCAATGGCATTCGAAGGGATAATGTGAACTGACGTGATAAACAATATCTTTTCAAAAAAACTCGTAGAGTGCATGGTAGCAGAGATTCCCAATTCGAAGAAAGGTAAACATGATGGGAAGCCGCAGCAAGTGTATGAATGTTCGTGGTGCGGAAGGGGAGATGGCAAACCTTCTTGTGCGAAATAATCTTCTTTTCTTCAATCAAATGGAATATGGAAGACGGAGCGCTAACGATGGAACATTACAGCTTGTTATGACTGCCTTAACGGCAACGATGAACCGGTCACGGGTCCGGGTGGATCATGGGATTGCCCTGCCGGAGTCGATGTGTGGCCCAAGCTCGGGGCATATCAGTTTGGTTGAGTCAATTTGCACATTATCACCTCTGACATCAACATCTTGATTTTCCACTTTGGTTGTGCATATCTTGAGCTGCTGTGGTATTTGAGAATTCAGTGCAAACTTTCTAACTCCCAATGAAGTTTTTTTTTTTTTTTTTTTTTTTTTATTGAATGTATTTAAAGTGCGATACCTGGCCCTAGGGCATAAAAACACACTATCTGAAAACAAGTTTTAAGCTAAAACGCTGAGGGATGAGGACTAATATGTAAGATAGTTGCGTGGCTTTGGGAGAATTGTCAACCCGGCTCTGCGCGATATGAAGCAAAAAGGAGAAAGAAAGCATAACAGCAGCACATAAAGGAAAAGATGAGAAAAAAGTGAAAAAGACATAATACGCTAGGCGTCTGGGAGGTAGCTAAGCAGTAGCGGATCAAGGGTTGAGCGTTGACGTAGACTTGGCAGAATCTCCCTACGCCAGATGGCCAGTGCGGAGGAAACACTCTTAGGCGCCGGGGTGATGTCCCCGTTGGTCAGTTAAGACATCTTTATAGTCGGTGGAGGTTGTGACAGAGAATACTCTGCGTCGTCTTTGTCTCAGCTCGCCCCTATTCCCATTCCTGGCCCCATTCCCTGCGGACACAAAGAGAAATAGAGATAAGAGAAAGTGAGAGAAAAAGGAGGAAAGAGAGAAATTGGTTTTCGAGAAGAGAGAAAGTTGTAAAGAAGAGTTGATTTGGTCGAGTTAGGATGAGGTTGAGGTGAGATGATTTGAGGTGAGTTGGGTTGTGTTTGAATTGATTTGAGTCGGTTGGTCGGAACTGGTTGTCGAGGTTGGGGATGAAACAAGGGTGAGAATCGATGGAGGTTGGAGGTGGGAAAGGGGAGGGCTTGAAGACTTGATGTCGAAGGGGAGGGTGTCGAGAATATGAGAAGCTTCGAAGTATTACAGGAGTGATGGAAGTGCGAAAAAGTTATGGCTCCGCGATTCGTCGTCGTCCGGGAGAGGCGGAGTAGCGAGTCTGGGAGGTGGCCTCGCGGGTGTTGGCCTGGTAGCTGTCCGGTTAGTGGTTTGGCGCCTGCAAGGCGCAGTCTTGGGGCGGCGGCGGTTTGGTTTGGGTCGAGGGACTGAGGATTGCATGATTTGTTGTGGCGGAGCGATGGATTTGTACCTAGATCGATGGAACCTAAAGGACATACGACAAAATACCGAGAGGGCCTCGAAAGCGGAGGGAGTGGTTAGTAGGTCTTTTTGGTGAAAAGGAGTCTTGTTGGCCCGCGCTGCTTTCGACAGGTCTCGACGGATACCTGCGAACTTCCTACAGGTGAGGAGGAAATGCTCGACAGATTCCCGCTGAGTACACAAGGCGCAGTTGGGTGTATCCGCTTTTGTGAAGCGGAACAGGTAGTCATTCAAGGGGCAATGCCCCGCTCGGAGTTGAGTGATGAAGGTGGCGGCGGGACAACTAAGCTTGCAGAGAGCCTTGAACGTTCCTCCTGGGTCAAAGACTCCCATCATGCGGGTGAGCGCCTGGTTTGTCGGGGCGATGTTGGCCGCGTCCACTAATTTGTCTTTGATCTTCTTCTTGAACGTCGTCGTGCAGGGTGGGCAATCGATTATCTGTGGGAGTTCAGTGGCGGCTTTCGCCGCCGCGTCAGCTAGGACTGTTCCCGGTAGACCTGAATTTGAGGGACACCAGATGAGGGAGATGGTTGCTTGTGGGAAAGATTCTAGAAGGCGTGAAAGGCCCCGACAAATTCGCACGCAGGACAAGAAGCCAGGTAGGAGTTTGAGGGGTTCGGTCATTTCGCGGATAATACGTTGGTTGTCAGTAAAGAACCAAAAGTATTTCGTGCTTTGCGGTGCTGTCTTCCTAGTGTTGGCAACTGCCAGTTCGAGACCTGTGAGTTCAGCTTGATAAGGGGTGGTTTCGTCAGCGTTCCCCACCCTCAGGCAAAGGGTCTTCGATGAAGCCGGAAGGTCAAAGTTGAAGAGGATGGCCGCGGCTCCCACCCCTTTACCAGGGATGAGGGAGCCGTCACTAAATGAGGCAACTGTATCTGCTGGGGGGTCAGTAGTATTCAGTTGGGCGAAGTTAGTAGCTTCGTCTTTGTCATGGGCAATGTTTGTGCTGATGCAATCATCAGAGGGAAGCCCCGCCTGTTGGGGGTCAATGACGTCCGGTAGGCGCGGTAGGGCCTTGCAGATGCTGTCTGGGTGAGCTAACGCTGTGTGAATGGAGGATTTGTGAGTCTTGCGATTCCGTTTGAAGACGGCTTTGACCAATTTGGCAGCCGGGTTTGTGTCCGGCAGTGTGAGCTACTAGCGTCTTTTGGGCTAGTAAAACACTAAGAATAAGGTTTGCTTAACAAACTAAGTTTGTTGAGCGCGTGAGATCTTTGTTTAAAGTTCTAAAACAAAGTAATTAATGAAGTAGTGTGATCAAATCAGCACTGACTTCAGTTAATTGACCTTTTAACAAAGGGTTTTGGATATCACTCCGGGAATTAATGCAAGACAGGAGTCTTCTAGCAGGAATAAAAGTAGAAACTACAGTCTAGTTTCGTGCCCAAGCTAATAACACTCTACTCTAGAGTTTATTAAACAAGGGAAATATCACCTAGTGATATTTAAAGTTCTTTAAACTCTGAACACAGAGGAACTCCCGTGAATTTAGAGTTTCTCAAGTTATTGAATTCCCTTAATAACTTGAGCAGTACTGCAAGGATCACCTCCTGAAAGAAGTCTTCAAAAGAACTTCTACAAATAACAAAAGCAATGATCAATTAGAGAAATATACAATGTCTAATAAAAGAGGACAAGGACTCTTATTTATCTGATTGATGATGTTTACTGATAATTTGATGATATGTAATGATGATGATGGACTTTCCTGGCGGGTGGGAGAGCTCTTTATATACTCATAACCCAGAAAATCCCTTGCGCACAACTTGTGGTTGGATTACATACTCTTTTGTAGTATGTAATCATATTTTAATTATTTAATTATTACATTTATTACACACATGCGTAACTCTTGTGTTGCTCATGTGATAAGCCTTGTGAAAGGTTATATTACTTCGTGTAATCTCTCGTATTGATCTACTTGTACCTACATATGTCATTACATATGTAACTATATGTAATTTCATATGTAATTGGCTCTTGAAACTGAGCCATGAGTTGTAAGTATTATTTTTATTATTTTATTATTATATTTCAGCCCTTTGGTACTAGCTATAGGGCTCGGGGCTGACATTCCCCACCACCAAAGGAGGTCATACTATTTTCATTGAGTATGATCTCTCCTTGCTGCTCGAAAAGCTCGAAGATTTACTTTGGAGTTAGGGACTTTGTCCGCTGGTAACCATTCATCTGAGTCTGCTCCATGACTCTTGTACCTTACCAGGTATAGGACTTCGTCTTTATTGTCTTTATTCTTCACTCTTTTATCTCGAAGAATTTTAAGAAACTGCTTTTCTTTTTCTGGTTCAAAGGGTGGAATTATCACTTTGGTCTTTCTGTGGAACTTGTCTCTTGTTGGATCATTGTATTTCTTTATTAATGATACTGGAAAGACTGGATGCTTTCTTTCTAGTTCTCCGTGCAATATCAGTTCCACTGCATTGGGTCCCACAAGCTTGGATATGACAAACGGTCCAACAAAAGGGTCCCTTAATTTCTTTGGCCCTTGTATGTTGTTGAAATTCACTGTTGATAACAGGACTTGATCTCCAACTTTGAAGTTTGGCTCCTTATGAGTTTTATCCCACCTTTCTTTATTGTATTCTTCTGCTTCTTTGATGCATTGATTTGCAAATTCTCTTGCTCTTGTTATCATTGTGGCAAAACTTAGAGAAGTTGGGTGAATTTCTACATCTCTACTCTTAAATTTGTCTTTAGGTAACCTAGGGCAAAAACCTCTTTCTATCTCAAAAGGTGTTTTGTTGGTAGAACTGTGAACACTGGTGTTGTATGCAATTTCTAATGCTGGCAATAAGGTTGTCCAGTCATGCGTATACCCATCTTTATCCTTAAATTCAAGACCAAAAGCACAGAATTTCCTTAACATTTCTTCAAATGTTTGGATACATCTTTCCGCCAAACCGTCTGTTTGCGGGTGGTATGCTGTTGAGAAAGCTAATTTTGTTCCCATGATTTCAAACAGGCTTTTCCAAAATTCAGATGTGAATTTAGGATCTCTGTCACTGATTATGACCCTTGGTAATCCTACGTCACTAATGAGTCTTTCCCAGAAGAGTAGAGCAATATCCATTGCTGAAGATTCTTTGTAGCACAGCAAAAATCTCACTCGTCTTGAAAATCGGTCTACAACAACTAAAGCGGAGTTGTAGTTGTCTCTGCCACCTGGTGGTAATGCTGTGACAAAGTCCATGTTAATTACTTGCCAAGGATATGTAGGTTTCTCAATACTCTGTAGGAGACCATACCTTTTTCCTGTAGCTTTGTTTGCTTTTTGGCATCTGTCACAGCTACTGACGTATTTCTCCGTGTCCAATTTCCACTGAAACCACCAAGCTGTGGTACTCACTCTTTCTAGAGTCCTGTCCACCCCCATATGTCCAGATAGAAATTCATCATGACATGTCTGCAGTATTTGTTCAATGTGTTTTTCTGAAACAAGAACAACTACTGAGCTATGCTTCTCTCTGAAGTATAAAAGTCCGGATTGTAATGAGAATTTCCCTTCTGCATACAATTCTTTCCATGGTGACTCAAGACTACTTGCTAGACTTAAATTAGCTTTGTCTTTGGACATCATTGATACTAACTTGGTTGTATTCACATTAGTATTATAGCTCTCTTTGATTTCTTCAAAGAACTCAGTGCTGAGTTCTGCCAAACTTAATCCCATGACGGGGATGTCTATCTCTGCGTCTTCTGGATCCCACGCAGGATTACTGCTATCATTTGGCAAAGCCATTCTGCTGAGACCATCTGCGTTGTTATGCATTTTACCTGGTCTATGTGTAATAGTCATGTATGGACGATATTCTTGAATAGCCAACATCCATCTTAACATGTGTCTATTTGGAGTTTTGATGTTCATCAAAGATCTCACTCCTGTACAATCAGTAATCACTTCAAAGTACACGCCATCTAAGTAGTAGTGTAACTTTTCCAATGCCCAAACTAATGCGAGTGCTTCTAATTGTGGTGAACCATATCTGGTTTCACTGTCTTTGAGCTGCCTGGATATGAATACAACCGGGCCTTCCCTGGATTTACCATCAATAATTTGTACTTGATGCAATGCAGCACCTAGACCTTCAAATGATGCGTCAACATACAATTTGAACGGTTTAGTGAAATCCGGTTGCAATAAAACTGGTGCTGTGGTAATCATATTTCGTATCTTTTTCCATGCATGAATTCTTTCAGCGGTCATTTCAAAGGAAACACCTTTGGCAAACAATTTATACAGGCAATTTGCAACTTTACCATAATTTTCTAAAAAATTTCTATAATAGCTAGCAAACCCCAAGAAGCTTTGCATGTCTTTGATGCCTTGTGGTGGAGGTTTTTGCAACACTGCTGCTGTCTTGTTTTGGTCAATTGCAATCCATAGTCTGGATACTAAATGCCCTAGTGCTCGGACTTCATGGAAACCAAAATTGCTTTTCTTCAAAGAAATTGTCATCCCCATAGCCTTAACTTCAATCAAAACTTTTTCAATAGCTTTGACATGGTCCTCCCAGTTATCATGGAATATGATAATATCATCAATGAAGATTTTTAACCATCCTTCTCGCAGTTCTTTGCTGAATTCTATATCCATCATCCTTTGAAAGAAAGCCGGTGCATTCTTGATTCCAAAGGGCATCTTCAGATATTCAAAGATACCCATATGGCAGATAATTCTGAAAAAATTTCTGCATGCCTCGTCTATAACATTTTGATGGAAACCTTTGAATACATCCATAGTTGTGATGTATACTGCCTTACCAAGATTGATCAGCACATGGTCACATCTTGGTAAGGGGTATCTATCAGGTAATGTATATGTGTTCAGTGCTCTGAAGTCACCACACAGTCTAGACTTTCCATTGTGCCATGCAATGATTACTGGTGTAGTAATGTCGACTTCCTCTGATTCTCCAACTTTACGAATTACACCAAGTTTCAATAATTCATCAAGATGCTTTTCAATCTCCACTCTATTCCTAGGACTAGCTGGATAAGCTGCTTTCCGCAATATAGGTGGGTATGGTTTTTCAATACTCAATTGAATACTCACTTTGTGTTTGTCAATTGTTCCTAGTGGGCTATCACCTAACCCAAATTGGTCTTTGGATTTGACAATCAATCTGACAATTTGTTCATGTTGTTTCTCTGTGAGCTTGGGACTAAACTTGGCTTCTTTGATATTCTCCATTAATGGTGGAGTTGCATTAACCGGTTCAATTGCAGGAATTCTCTCATCTTGCGGAGTTTCTACATCTTCTTGTTTTTTAAAGACAAGTCCTGTCAACTTTGGTCTTTGAATTGGAAGTCCAAATTTCTTTTTCTTGACATCATTTCCAAATGTGAAGTATTTATCTTTACTATGAAAAATATCTATTCCATACATGGATAAAAACTCATCTCCTATTATGAGATATTTGGTATGTGAGTTTTCCATAACTACAAATTCAGCATCAATCCTGACTGATTCTTGCGGGTGCGGAAAAACAAGTTTCAAAGAAATTACACCTAAAGGAAATAAACTTCCACCACACCCTGTGAATTTTATGTTATTTTCACAGGGAACCATTCTCAATTTCCAGTCTGGTAATAAAGTGGTG